CCCATTTGTGGGGTTGCTTTTGCTCAAGGACGTAAGTACTTGGTGGGTGATGCTAAAGGATGGTGAAGTACAATGTGTACCTCAAGGGAACTTAACTCTGGGTGAGAATACTCAGTTTCGAGGTGTATGATGTTAATAACAACAGTGTCCATTGTCTTTCAGGATAATGCAGTGAAGATGACCACACCTAGTTTCATCAAGTGGTGTCCACTAACATCTTGAGGTGAACCTGCAAACTGGTAGCACAATCCATGACAAATGCTCTACCACCTCCTCTGCCCTGAGAGACTGCTATGATAGATGCAAACCTACAACTGTGAATTAAGTGAACTTAATGAACTTTTGTGTACACAGTAGCGATCTGAGAATGATGGACATGGTATGGAATAAGGGGTGGAATGTCCTGGTCTGAGCTACATAGACCTAATTTTCTATTTTACTTTTCAGCTCAGTCTCTTTTAAGTGGCTGAACTTGCTGAAAACTGGCAGCATGTTTTCCCAAACAGCGTGTACTGATAAAACTCAAGGCAAATTGTCTCACCATGGGTGCCATGTCTGTGCCTACAGGGGGGGATGTCGACCCAAAACTGACCAACAAGGTATTCCATCCCACATACATCATACTCGGTATAAAAACCGAGGGATCACGAGGGTCTCGACCCTTCCTTCATCTTGACGCCCTTCCATCTCAGACCCTTCCATCCGTCTCAATCCTGCAGAGGCTGAGGTCTGAGCAGACCCTGCTGGTTCATCTGCCTCTGATCCTGATTCATGTGTTCCTGCATCAGCTCCTACTGCTGCTGAGTTTGGTCTGGGACTTTTCCAGTGCCCGGCTCTGCAGAGCCTCTGGTGACGTATTCGTCATTGCGGGGGAAGGGTGGGGGGAGGATTTTACATTGGTTTTGTATATATGTTTGTACATATCTGTATATATTTCATTATTTTCCTATTTACAATACTATCTGTAGTATTAGTATTATTGTTTCATTAAACCTGTTAGTTTTATTTTCCAACCCGTAAAGTCTCTCTCCCTTATTCTCTTTTCCCTTCTGGGGAGGGGAGAGGGGTTAATAGAGAACATCTGTCCAGGATTTAGTGGCCTGCCCAGACCTAAACCACGACATTCACTTAGAATGGGAAGCCAAGGACAAGATTATAAGTAGTAGTGACAATCCTAAAAGAGGAATCCTTGTATGTCATACTTAAATATTCCTTCTCCAATGCACCCCAACTCAGCAAGATCATCAGGCAGCAGCATCACAGAATACTAGAAATGTAAGTTTATTTTGCAGGCAACATGCAACATCACTGTACAAGTTTATGAATTTCTACCTCCTCAGTATGTTGATGGTATGTTTTCTTACTTTTCTTTAAAAATCAAATTTTTTTTTCCTTTACCACAGTAACAAGATGGGCAGAAAGTTTTGTTACTGGGCTAGTGCATTTGAGAGTGGTCTGATAGAATTAGACGTCTCATTTTATTCCAAGATATAACTACCTTATCTTAAATTTTGGCTCAACTTAAAAAGCATAGTTGTGATTAGGTAACAGTATTTTACCCTTCCATCTAAACTCAACTTCTTTTTCCCATGTTGTAGCTACAGATCACCACTCACTCCACGCACTCCCCGAGATCTACTCATGCTGAACAGAAAACACATCATATTCAAACATACTCGTAAAGAACAATTCACAAAGGGACTTTTTATAACGACTTCCCAATAACTTAAGACAAGACATCTGCATACTACTGATGACATCTGTGTATTTTGGTTTGCAGAACTTCTCTGTAATGGTGCCATTTTTATACGAGATATAGTTTAGGAAGCTTCATTCAGATTTCTGCTCTGGTGCCACAGAAGACTTTAAGTGGAAGAAAAGGCATTTTAACAGACTTACCATTTTCTGTAAATCAACCATACTTATTCTGCCAGCTTCCTTTTTCATTTGATCCACACTTTTCTGGGCTAAATTCAGATAGGCCTGCAAATGATGGCGCATCATAGCCAACCGTAAAGCACACAACAGGATTATAATCCACAACCTCATGGTGTCAAATGTCTCTTCTGACATTCTGTGAATAAAAAAAAAACAGGGTAATGTTGTTTTCCAAAGGTCACCTGCTGCTGTGGAGTTGTTTTTATTATCTGCAAAGAAATCTTGAAGCATATTGCCAGAAATAATTAACACACAATCTATAGTTAGGAAGTTCATGTGTAAGTAATATCCACATTTGCCCTCCACTTCTCTCACTACTGCTACTTCTTAGAAGTCCTATTACAGCATTAGACCCAAATTAGTATCCTAATGTACTAGTATCCTAGTCTGTAAATAAGAACAGCTCTTAAATGCTTAAATTCTGAGTAATGAAGACAGGACACTAAAGCATAAGTTCACTCAGATAATTACAGGTATTGAGATGCACAGTTCTAGATAGCAAATGTGTACTTCAGTTGCTTTAGACACCCTTTTATACCACAACCCTCATTTTAAAGATAAACTGAAGAACGAAATGGAAGCGCGAAATATTTGCAATGTTTTACATGACAGTTCAGTGGTCACAGAACCACCTTAGAAGCATATCTTAGACCTAGAAAGCAATAAAAGTGACAGCAAATCATTTCTATTTCAAGTCTATTTGAATACTACTACTGTTCTCTAGACTAATAGTGACAACGACAGTCACCTACACTACTTACACGACACTGATTTCAGGTATCACACTTCCTGAAAATCCTTTCCTTTTTTATGTTTTAAATATTTTACCCATTAACTCCGTATGCACTTCATCTATATGTAGACCTTGAGACCAATTGTTTAGGTCAGTTCTCATGTCAATGTGTTTCCACTGTCTTCAGTGAAACCATCCCTCTCCTTCACCAACAGGTAGGACAGAAGTTTCCAGAAGGTGGCAGTGAGGTGGTATTCCACCTCTAGGAAGAGCAACCCATCACTGCCTAGAAGATTGCAGTTCTTTGGGAACCACCACCTTACCATTCAACACTGTGCAACTAATTCTCGATCTTCCGAAATAACAGGAACCCTTCAGCTCAGCTGCAAGTTTCACAATATTTTTGACAGCAGATATATTATGTTTTTAAGTCTTTCACATTTCTATGACTTTCACAGGGCACTACTTAGACTTACGGTTTTGTTCTCAATACCCCAGAAAGAATTATTAAAGTGAATCTTACAAAGGGATGCTCTCTTTGCCCAAAGGTGGGTTCATAATGTAGTCCTTAGTGATAGGTTTTACCCACAGTAGAACCATAAATAAAGGTGCCAAGAAGTTTATATGTAGCAATGTTCTGAAAGAAGAAAAGAAAAAAGGAGGGAGGGGGAAGTTATTAAATACAAACAATTACCGCACTGTTGAAACTGGCTGTATAGTTTCAAAAAGAGAAATTCAAATTTTAAAATAGTTGAGGGAAAGGTAAATAAGAAAATTAGTTCCCTATTTTGTAGGTGTGACTTAGCTTTCAACAAAACAGTTACGCTATGAAATCACACTGGCTGTGACTTGAAAAAGTGCCCTTTGAAATAAATTCAGTTTGCAGATATTCTAACAATCTAAACAAATCTAAATCTAATCTAAATGCTACCTGCATTATGCTACAATATAGTAAAAGACAGCTGTTGAAAATATCCATACAATGGCACAACATCAAACTGTACTAGCTATTACAGTTTTAATCTAGAAAGTCATAATCTCAGATGGATAATTATGGGAAATATGTTTCTATATTATTATTTTTTTGCTTTATTAAAAATGTATGTAGATTAATTTCCATTATCTATACAGACCAGGGGAAACAGTTCTCAGAGACTAGACTTCCCAGTTTAATGAAGAGTTTTTATTTAGGAACTTTGACTAAATTAAACTTGGTACTTTCATTCAATTAAAGTTACTTGGGGGCAGGAGTGGAAGCAAGCACTGCTGTCCCACTGTACAAAACTGCAGTTAAACTAGTATGCTCTTGTACTATTTCAGTACGAAGCCAACAGCAGAATTTAAAGAGAGGATAGTTTTCTGCAGTTTTTCCTGAAATTAATATTGTTCTTAATTTCTGAACTCCATATCCCAATCATTTTTCAGTACCAAAATGAATTGAAAAGTTAAAGTCCTCAGTGCTGTAGATCTGGTGGTTTTGCTGGTGCCATGCTTCCTCACTAACAGAGTCGGCTTATCTGTACTTCCATCTCCAACCAGAGTGCTTCTACACTACAGGAAAAGTGAGGTAATCAAAAGTTACTGTAGAGAGCACTAGACCTTACTGATTTCAAGCCATCGAGCTTCCCAAAACTATTAAAAAGTTTGCATGTTTCAGAAGATGTCATCACACATGCATTTAAGTAACTGCTTTCAGATGAAGAAATGAGCACTGCTAGTTACTCAGTGTTGCTAGGGAACGCGACAGCATCCAAAAACAGTCCAAAGCATTTCAGGGACTGGTGAAGGCTTTTCACCTGAGCTCCTACCCATTTAAGACATTATACTGAGTTAATGGACTGGAATGTGCCAAAGGGTGGCAACAATCCCTTTCTGTTTGAGTACAGGGAGAAAGGCTGAAAGAATCTTGAAGCAGGCTCTGAAAATGAAGGAATGTGTACAAAAACAGTACAAATTGGTAAGACGACTCCAAAATATTTGCAGGGAAGGATACTGCTGCTAAAGAAAAAAAAAAAAAATCAAACCAGCTATCGAAACTGAAAGGGACCCCAAGTTATTATTATTCTGTTCCCTCTTTTGTGTTTTTTTTTGTTGTTGTTGGGTTGGGGTTTTTTTTGTTGGCAGGTTGTTTTGCAGGGATTTTTTCTGTTAATTTCTGGGGAAGTTTGGGGACTTGTGGTTTTCTTGGGTGGCTTAGGGTGTCTGAGGAGTTTTGGTTTGGGTTCTTTGCTGTGTTTTGCTTGTTTTTTTCCCCAAAAGTAGACCATGTATTTGACTGCAGAGGAAGACATTGTTTTCCTGCACTTTGTATCAGTGACAACTTCATTTACTACTCTCCTTTAGTTACTGTCAAACAACAGCAGTCAATCATGATCTACACATCAATAAAAACACATCAGGAAGGCCAAATGGATCTCTTCAGGCCAATCAGAACCTATCAATCACTTGGCAAGGATTCTTTGTTTATAATTGCATTACCTAATTACAATGATATCTGACCAAGTTTTAACCCATTTAAGATCATATTTATACTGTTCTGGTCGAATAATCACAGCACTGGTAGACTTCGGAAAATATTTTACTTCGTTTTACATAAAGCTGTCTTCAACAAGTTCTAATACACTCTAAATATTAAGTTAAAGGAAATTTATTTTTCATAACCTCATTCTAGTGGATATTAATTACCTTTTTATTTCTTGACTAATTAACTTCTGTTTCAGAGATCTTAAAATTTCTGGCTAGGGTCTCACGTCCACAGATCAAGCAAGATGTTGGAAAATTAAGAGGATACTTACAGAAAAGGCACAAGATTTTTTTTTTAAAAGAGAACTATAAAAATGGAAAACTAAATCGTTTATTTAGCTTAAAAGAACATATCAGGAAGTGACTGAGTCACAATCTACACACAGACAGAAACTTAGCAGCAGATGCTACAAAAGCCAACAGCTTGCAGCTGTACCTGGATGCATTCAACAGTGAGTACAACACAATACTTGGTTATAAATTTACCAAGAGTGAAGGACCCACTTTAAACGTAGATTAATTTTTAAGCTGGGCTTTTTTTGGGTGCAAAGGAAAAAAAAAAGTCAGTTTGACCATAAATAACTTTCATACGAGAAAATACAATCGTTCTCTCAGGAAAGTGACCAGACTAAATGATCACAATGGCCTACTGCTGCTATTAAATATCAAAGGTCAAGATCTGTGGATATTTGGAGTTTCGTCCTCAACCACAGAATCCTGAAGATAAATAGTTAAATAGGAGAAAACATTATACTACCAAACTCAAGGGTGGATGAAAATTAAAATACTCCTTTAAATTGGTATTAACATCTGGCCCTTATTAAATAAATATTCTAGGTCATCTTTTCTTTGTAACTAACCCTAAATTTATTTAAAGGCATGACACCCATCTGGATTGAGGTGGGGGTGGAAAAGAAAAGTCTGTGGTTGCACCTCTACTTTTTGACAGTTATCTTAACTTTCAAAAATACATGATGGGGGAAAGGAAGCAGTAAGCAGAAACATTCATAGTGGAGCTGCTGCAGAAGGAAAGGAAACCTCCTTTAATTGGGACTCTAATTACAAGGCAAAGAATGTAACAGACTGCCAGAGCAGAGGTTGAGCAGAAAGAGGCAGGTGGCAAGTCTGCTTGAGATACGAAAAGCAGGCAGCAACAGAAGTCTGAGTCACTACCTTCTTGCTGGAGTAGCTTGCTTTGTTTATTTTCAGACATTAAAGATTTAAGACTGAGTAGCATATACCTATGTGTATATATTTTCTCTTACTGTGTTATTTTTTCTGTTGCTAAATTCAGAGCATCCAGATGCATTTGAGCCAGTCGCAAGCCAGGGAATGTCAAAAAAGCACCAATAAGTGAACACAGAACAGCCAGGAACAATTTGAAGGTTAGTTTAGACACAGGACCCCTAAAAGAAAAGAAAGGAAATAAGCATTTTCTTGGCTAGGAATTTGGGGGGTGGGGTATCAGAGACTACTTTCAACTCAACAGTATCTAACATTTAATCAAAAAAGCAAACAGTATTCTATAGTTTTACTCTGGAGTATCAGCGCTATTAAAAACCAATCAGGAAATAAAATTTTTAAAAACCAAAAAAACTACTAAAAAACTCCAATTCCTCTATTTCCTCGAAATAAGAGAAAGCCCAAGCTACTGCCTGTAAGATGTTGAGTTTGTTAGTAGAGAAGAACAAAAAATAGAATGATTTTCTATTTTAATTAACAACAAATTATACAACAAAAATAGCTAATATAATGAATTTAATGACTATGTTTTTAAGAGGAACAGATGCATCATAAGTTTATCCCATCAAAGACAAAATGGATATTTAAATTATATTATTTACATTCTATCTTCATCAATAAAAAACCTCTGTCAAACTATTATTACTGTAGTTTTTCCACAGATTTATCTAAAACATACACGTGGCCAATAAACGTGTCTCTTTCAAGTGATTAATACAGTTTGTTTTAATGAACTATGGAGTATAAAAAAAACACAGGAAAAATACACAGGATCAACTGAGTCATTTAGAATTAACAAACACTGAATTACACAAAAAACAAGTGACGTTTAACTAACACAGATTAAAGAGGAACAAAAATAAACCTAATGATCCACAGGAATTTACGATTTTTTTTTTAACCTGTCATACAAAATACCAAGAGACACCGTCATCAATTCAACTGCTGTAACAGCAAAGCACTGCAAATGTTCAAAAATAAATGAACACTTAACAGGAAAATTAATACAGAGGTTAGTAATCTTGCAATATCTTATGAAAAACAGAGTGAAGAAAGGCTAAGAAACACATGGGATTCAGTTAAAGGTTTCCCATGAGTTTATTCATAAATGAGACACTGATCTAGTTTGAAAAGCTTTCACAGGTTTTGCATGATACTTGGTGACTTCCAAGCAGGAAATTCAAAGCCGTGCTCCCACAGTGATGACATATGACATAAATGCATGTAGGGTATGCGTATAAGGGAAGAATTGTAACAGAAATCCATTTTACAATACAAAAAGGCTGTTTACGACAGAATTGTGCATTTAAGTAGCATCACAGGCTATGGCATGTTCCTTTGACAGTCTATACAAAACTTGGATGTTCTGTAGCAAGCAGACGTTTTTGCATAATAGTAAAATACTATTATAACCTGAAAACAGGACTGAAAGACAAAATTTGCTCCTAATGCCAACTTTATCACAAGCTCCATCTGTACATTTTGCACACTCATCCTCCTGTATATCACAGGAATGGCAGGGGGGGAAAAAAAAAAATCTATCACCTGTTCTGAGCAATCCTTGCAAAGCCAAAGGGAATTACCATGAGAAGAACATTTAGAGTTTTGAACTGTATTTTATGAACTACAACCAAAATGTCAGGGTAAAAAATATGTCCAAATTCAAAAAAGCAAACACAAGTGCAACTTAAGTTACTTGTGATTAATTATTTTCATTAACCCACCTCTTCACATTATTATAGAGATTATAAGCATGTACAAGAACAAAAAATGCAAGACAAATGCTTGCTAAGAAAATCCAAGTGGTTCAGTTATAACTGCACACATCAAGCACATAAATATATTTCCGGAAACTTACTGGGATTCCAAACCCTGCTTTTCAAGGAACTGCATAGCACTTTCTGAGAAATTCGAGAATCCTGCAAAGACACATACATGTGTTTTATTACAGCGCAAATGCAGAATCCCCTTTTTGAAATTAAAATGCTAGGTAACAGGTCATCTTTTAAAAAATTTTGTATGTCTAGCTCTTTCATGTGCTAATTAGTATACCATAATGCAATAAGACTTTATTATTAACATCTGGTATTGGTACACTTCAGGAACATGAATAAAACTTTTTTTTTAGAAGCATAAGTTGGTTGTTTTTATTTCAGTAAAGGGGATTCACTTTACTATGAAAGGCAAAATGGTTTAAATGTCAAACTGGAAGGCAAATATAATCAACAAAAACCGACAACCCATGCAAAGATTACACTTTTGGAAAGAAAAGCAGGGAAAATATACATGATAAACTTCGGAATCTACATTCAATGCAAAATTTCTTATAAGTTTATGGCTATAAATAGAGATAATTTTAACAGATATTCTAAAAAATACCTAAAAGATTGGAAACAAGCTTTTCAGGTCATGCAATCACTAGAGCTGCTGCAAACATTAAAGAAATGAGTTACCTGATTCCAGTCCAAACTCCAGATAGTTTTCTGTCACAATGAGAATCGCCATTGCTTTCACAAAGAAGAAGAAACCAAAGGTAACACAGACTGATCTTTCACCACCATCCTCGACTTTGAAATAGTGGGTAGTCAACGAAAACAATACCTTACTACACAAGAAAAGGTCAAGGAAAATTAAGCTTGTAGAATAGCTATATTTAATAATTATAAAGCTGTGCTTTAGTCATCTGCACTAGAGCTGTTCTATGATGCACAACTTCTTTACAACAGTAATATGTGTTTGGACAATTTCAGGTTAAAATTACAGAATACTGCGAAGCATAACCACCACATAATGAGTAGCCAGGAACACGCTATTCTGAAGTAGAGTTCTGATTTAGGCTTACTTATAGTCAGTTGCAGCAATAATCACTATTGACCTAGGATAATTAAACCAAAGTTTAGATTTTTAAGCTTAAAAAGATTTTAAGTGTAAACATTACCTTTTTTTTTCCCACTGTCCAAAACTATATTCATTAATATTTGCACTTTTTTTACTACTGAAAATATTTTAAGATGTAAATTACATGAAAACATGTTTTAGAGTATCTATTTAGTAAAACATTTGAACAGTCATCAGTTAATCTCTCAAGAAATTATATGATGATGCAATATTGCACTTAATTAAGCGGCACATATTTAACATACACATTGCTGTATTTCATGTATATCCAGACAGGTACTCATATGCACACAAAGTGGCCTAAGCACAGCACCTAATCACTCAAAGTTTACAGTAATCAGCTTAAGCTCCCTTCATACTTCACAGAAAGAAATGTCATATCTAAAGGAAGACTTAAATCAGCCTAAAAAGAGGTAGGTCGTATAGACTGCAATCTGGAAAGCTCTATTTCTCAAATAATAAATTCTAAATCAAGCGTCTTCTTACAGCTAGAGACACTGACCACAAATTGAAAAACACATTAATTTCAAATGTTGAAGTTACACAAAGAATTTCATAACAGTTTGTGGCCAACAGTCCTAAACTATTAACAGATTTATAACCCTCTACATACTTCATGTTTTTAACTATGGATTGTGCCTAAATGATGTGGAAAACACAAGTGGGGGAAAAAAACACCTACTGAGAGTAAATTTGATTATAGTGCAGACTCAGAACCCTACATAACTTAATGATTATGCAAACTATCTGTGACTGAAACCCTTTTTTAGTTGAATAATCAACACTACTACCTACTTTAGAGATGGAGAAAATCGAAGCATTATGGCTCGCCTCATCACTTGCTTTCACTGCCTGACTTACATTTCAGGACCTACTGAAGAAATAATTCAGGAGTAGACAGTTCTAAATTACCAGATACTCCACACCCCTCTTATTACTCTTTTTTTTTGGTCAAAAAAGATGATTGCCTGTAGAATTTATGGTAAAATAATTTTTGCAAAAGTGTGCATCTTTTAAATTGTTGCAGTTATTGAATTTTTATATTACATAGTCCACTGGTATTAATGCATGTGAAGCTAATGCGTTTTTAATATGCAGAGAATACTAGATCTGTTTCAACGTCCAAAAGTGGACAAGGTCCAGAAGTGCAATTAGATCTCAAGTGCTTCAGCCAGATTAGGGTAAAACTGGAAATGTTAGTTTAGGCTCAATTCATAGAAAATTAGAGGTGAGAAAGAAATAATAATAAAAAAAGACCCTAATAGCTACTTGCATGTTCACATTACTGAGACACAAAGATTGCACTGCCAGGCAACTTAAATATTTTTAAATTTCTGCATTTGGTTTTGCCCTGAGCTCATGACCAAATGAAAGCAGTGATTACAACTGTACCTAAATACCACTGCACTACATAATTGCTGCAGTGGATTTCCCTTCAATATTCATTATTCACAACTCTGTTTCACCTGCAGTTGCAATCACTCTAGTATCAATCAAGTTGACCACACACGATATTTGAAAGATGCAGCAAACGGGGCGTTGCCACCAATAAATTTAAGGGTGCATTATGGCTCTCACATTTGAAGCTTGTTTTTCTGTTAGTTCTATTAACCTCCCCCTCATTTTCAAAATGGGAGTCAAAGGTGTTGGCTTTCATTTCTGATCTCTTAAGCAGCAGCTGCTTCTCTCTCCTTCACTCTGCCAAGATTAAACTAGAATTCCCAACTTCACTCAAACACCACAAAGACTGTGCAATAACACAGCTATAATATCATTAAGAGGTACACAAGAACCAGTCACCGACTTTCCTGTCACTATCTAACAGACTAGAAAAAACACATTTTGGGCTGTGGATCTGATCATGGACAAATCAAAGGAGAAATACCTGGTCTGGGAGCAAGCTACTGGCTGTCTTTTTTTGTTCTATAATGCGAGTCAACTCCCACTTCGACCAAGTTTTGACTCATTACAAGGAAAATTATGGATATCATTTATACTTCATTTATAATTCCTGCCCTTAACATAACAGCAGCACACATTTATCAAGTACAGACAAGCATCACGCATATCCAGAACTGACAAATAAAACCACACATTAGAGTTCAAAGGTTTTACATAACACAGTGTTAACTATCTCTAGCACACACACACACACACACACAAAAGAACAAACCAAAAACCACACAATACAGTAAGAGTCTCTACTGAAGAAGATGCATTTATACAGAGAATCAATTTTGAATAATCAAGTGCTATACTGACCCTAACTTAACACTTTATCTGGTTGTCTGCTGTTGAGGGAGCAGTGGAGTTGCAGAAATGCATTTTCTAATTCACCTTTCTATAACCTGCGCTTCTCCAGGCCCCTATTCAATTCCCCTGCTTTATCACCTCTCATATCTTTAAATAGCAACTTCCCTCCCTAAAGCATATGTCTGGATTGGTATGTGGAAAGCAGTTAATTTCCATGCAAGCATCTGATACTGCCTTCTCCAGTAAAAACAAACCTAACTGCTGATTCTTTTTATAATTTGATATTGCCCATCTCCTAAATATCCCACTTTGTTTCCCTCAGTTTCAGAGGGGAGTTCAGCTTTTCACAGAACTTTGAAAGCCTACCACCTCGCCTCCTACAGCTGTCTACACATTTTATTTTCTGTAAACTTCAAAACAGCATTGTGAATGTATTTTAAAATTAGGAATTCATGCACGTATCTTTGCAATAAGTCAGTATGCATATTACTATCCTTGTTCAGGTAGTATTAGAATAAACAAACTGAAAACAAAGTGTGCAGTAAATTCTCTCACTTCTCCAAAAGTTGTAAATACCTCCTGTGCAGAAATCTATTTCCGACTGCCAAACTGTACAAAACCAAATTATTTAAGAACCGCTATATACTACAGATGGCCACTAATTGTATATTCACATACCTGTATTTTTCCATAAATGGTTTGGTATCAATGCTAACAAGCCATTTACATCACCATGCACAAAGAGCATGTAGATTACATACATTACCCAACAGCAGCACTAGCTTACATGATGCTTTTTCCACAAGCTAAGTATTTGCTTATCCTGCCAAACAACAATACAGAGCTTTACATGAATTGCAGAATGATGTAAACAATTTGGAACAGATAGCGTGATATCAGACAACAGAAAAGGATACACTGCAAAAGCCAAGACAAGCAGACACCACACCACGCTGATATTCATTTCCTGTGAGGGCTTCACAATACTGTAATAGGCTTCCGTCACCACGTACACAACTGTAGCTGCAACAGTGAAGTCCACCAACCACTGATATTCCGGGAAATAATGCAATGCTGAAAAATATGAGCTTGCAAATGTTAAAGGTATGATATTTTAAGGCAGTTATTAACGTATTTAGAATGTGACAATTAAAAAAATGTTTCTGTGTCTAGGTAGACCCAGATCATCCAAGTAAAGAACAGCAACAGGAAAAAAGCCACATTTTTTCCACTCAACAACCTGAACTTTACTCCTCACTTCTGTTATTCAGTAACTGATTACAACTCAAATTTATAAGGCCAGAAGATTTTACTATTTTAGCATCTCAGCTTTTATACATTAACATTCTAAATTGAAAAAGCGTACTTTAAATCTCAGCATCACAATAGAAAATGGTTCTCCAGCTGAGTCTAGCTACAATTCCAGTAAGAGTTTTGACTCTGACAAAGATGAAAAGCTCATTGGCAATAATTTAAAATACTACATATAATCATGTCCTCTTTTTCTTTAAAAAAAACATCTAATACATTAATAGTTTGTTCTTCAAGGTTTTGTTAATATGCCCTGTACAGCAATAAATGATTGTGTCAAGTCCACTGTAAAAATTCTGGGGATCATACTGTGTTGCATGCAGGCTGGGTGAAGAGATTGCTCCCGTAAGTACTGGAAACTGCAAGGAACAATTTATGACAATCAAGTGCAGCCTGTCTCTTCCAAACACCTTCCCTACATCCACAGGGTTAAAAAGTCACAAAAAGTTATTTAGCATTTGTCTGTTGACTACAAGCTACTGAATATCAAAACACATGAAATTGGTCTAACTCTGATATTTCTATAAGTTCTATAAGTTCTATACTTATTGTCAAATAACTATCTGGTTAGATTTACCAAGTTTGTATAAATAACTTTGAGACAGTCAAACTCGACACTGTATCAGTGTCTGTAAGTATTCATGGATACACTTAAATGCTGTAACTTCAAAGAAGTAACAATAATTGAAACTTGTGGATGCTTTGTTTATTTATGTGCCACCTCCAAGAACCTCTGCATTTCTGTTAAAGGTATTCTCTACACTGTCTTTGACAATTTAAGATGAAAAAATCTACTGCATATGCATTCTTTCTGTATTTATGCATAGAACACATGCATATAAAAACGAAGATGGCAAGAAAATACATATACATACATACATATCCATACATGAGTTTTCTGTAACAGAATGACTGGTTATGATCAAGGAATCAAAAATTAACATTTAAAAACCAGCAACATCCAAAGCACTTAATGCTGCTTATTTCTGTACTGTCACTTTTGATTTCTAAGCATTTTACCTCAGCACTTCAGATGTGTGGTTGAAAGGTCTAGGTTTCAATGCTACAGTACATTTCCTATTTTAGATGAGCAAGAAGTACGTTTCAACATCTGCCAGCTGTCATTTTCTTGTACAAAGCTATGATCTCTCTTTCAAATAGATTATGATGTGATCCTTTCAGTGTTGTCTCATAATGCTATGGATGCCTGATATAATACATGTGCTTTATGCTGGATTTTACCTACTCATCCTTTTCCATAACACTGCTATTAAGATGTCACCCATGGAACACCAAAGGAGACTTAGCCCCAATTTTTGCCTTTTCATTTAACTTATCAGTTGTACTTCATTCACAGTCCATAAAAAAAGATCTTCCAGTATTCACTGCAAATAAATATTTGATAGAAAGAATGAGGATATAGTTTCAATAATATATTATTGTCTGCATTCACTTATTCTCACCAATAGTGTCCCTTTCAGTCACAGACTTTGTTTCCAGATGAAGATCAATGTCTTTTGGAATGGTTAGAGGTTTGTTTTCAATATGACCATTATATTTCCTGTAAAAAATAAACAAACAGATCATACACACATGCATACGACAAAATAAACTTTTTCTGTATATAATGGCATTTAAAATTTAAGATTACTGCAGGTGACTTTTTTGCCAAATGCAAACACATTCAATCTATCTAGCTAAAAGCATTAATTCAAGTTCAAATCTTGAGAAATAACCAAGTATTATCAATGATTCCCAGCTTTATCTTGCAAGGTTCTGACAAGGTTCTACTGTGGTGTGGGTTTAAATGTCTTCTATATGCTGTGTCCTGTGCATCTATTAGGGCAAGATCCAGTGGCCAATATTTACTTCAGTCCACTGATTTTCTCTGTTCAGGGAGCTACAGGGTGTTCTACTAAGTTCCCACTTAATCTCAAAGGGTTAATGATACAAACACAGCTGCAGAGCAGAACATATCCATCCTGCCATACAAATACCCTGAAGAAAATCAAAGCTAAACTGAGACTTTTTAATTGAAGTCTAGACCAGGATGCTGAAAGGCAGGAATGTTAATTTCTTTGGATTGAAAGTAAGTAAAAGACAACAGGCAGACTTGGCAGCGTTAATTTATTGAACACTCACTGGAAATAACAAGAAGCACTAATCTATCTTGGAAGACAGCTAGTAAGAAAAGAAAAAAAAACAACTAACAAACAAAAACCACCAACCAAATTTCCCAAAAAAACATTAGGCCCTTTTGTCACAACAAGGTGCTTAGCAAGTACGTCACATGAGCTGGACTAACCTAGACCCTTGAAAGATCCATTCTACCAGCCATCAGGCAAAGACAATTTTGAGATAATTTTCTAATCTAAAGGCTATGTACAGAAATACTATAGACTTGTTTCAATTCATACCCTGCTTACAAAAACAAGAAAAACAAAACCAAAAGATATTTATCACAGCATTATTAGCAATCCTAGAGATCCAGTACAACTTGAAAAGAAATAATCAGTCATTCTCTCTTTGGGGAGACAGACTAGGTTAAGTACATCGCAGTGCAGCACCAGTGTTCAAAGCTGTGTTCCAGGTTGCAGACATTGCTGCAGAGCACAGCAGCAGTACACAGGGATTTCATAAAGAGTAACACACAGATTCATTTGCTCCCACCACACAGCTGCTTATACAAATGGAAGGAATAAGGCAACCAAAGGTTGATACTCACACAGCTAAACCCTTCCTGCTTCCAGCTTTAAGCAATTTGGGGATAATCTGAACCAGGGATTGCATCCTCTGAAACCACCCTTTTTCAAAACTTACATGAATTTGCCTGAGCCCTTTCTGAAGCAGTCTGAAATTTGTTGAGTGAAGTCCTTACATCTGCTCTACTAATGTCATTTGGTGCCTCCTTGCATAACATAGTAGGAAGTTTACAAATCTCAACACCCTCTGCACACAGTGGATATGTTCCTGTTGCAAAACTCACTCTCTACCAGCTCCCAGACTAATAAGCCTTACATTTCTCCTTCTTGTGTGGAAGCCTTTCTTCTAGCCACCACTGCTCTCCTTTTCCAGCTCTACTGAATCATCTTTGAAACACGGTATAAACAAAAGTGTATCTTATACATATAATATGAAGTTAGACTATGTTTTCCAAATTATTGGTTAGAACTAACACATCTTTAAGGAATCATTTTACACAGCAGAGATCTATGTAAAGACCATAAAAGATTACGTATTTTGAGCAAATGGCACATTTTCATGTGGAGCTCTGAAACTATACAAACATCACGATCTTCACTTTCCTGAAAGTAAGTCACACTGCTAGACTTTAAATTGAAGAAAACTAGGTACTCTTAAAAGAACTTGAACAAAGACAAGTTACATGAAATTGGGCTGAGAGATTACCATTACTAACTAGGGTTAAACTTACCTCATCACTATTAAAAAAAAAAATCATTAACAGAGATCAGAAAGTGTTTTGCTTAAACACTTAAGAAAAATCAACATCAAAACAAAAACTTAAAACCCCTAAATGGCCAGAAGGAAACAGTAAACTCTGACAGGTTTTAGAGTAATACCTCTGAAATTAGAAAAGAAGAGGTGGATTTTCCATAGAAAGATAAGTTATTGGGACATAAGCATTAAAAAGAAATTCACTCAATCGTGAACTTTTTTTAAAGGAATTATATCCTCTCAGCTAATGTGCGAGATGAGATTACAGGCAGAAAGCATTAATGATTTTTTTTCAGGTGATATTAATTCTTTGTATTATCTGAAGCACAAGAATTTTAATGGACAAATTGAAAACTGAGGAATCTACAGTTACACAAAAAACTCTGCTGCTCCAGTCCACACAAGAAGTCCCAAACACTGCCCAGCCACACGGGTATATGCAAGCTTCTGTGTGCTCCCCTGCCCCAGTTGTATTCTAATGCTTTCCTACTTCGTGCACCCAGGAGCACCATCACCCTAAGTGAGGTGAGCATTTTGGTAACTGAGGCCATCACACAGAGACAGTCAGAAGATACTCAGGATCACTGCCAGCTTTAATTCAAAAGTAATTCACAGTAGCTATGGACCTTTTCATTAGCCTAACAATTTAATGTAACAAAAACGATTCTGAAATAGAAAATCTGCCTAATATTTATATGCTATTATAACCTATAGCATAACATATTGAAATGTAATATGCAATAAATAAAATGGACTACAAGTTCATACTACAGCTGTCCCTAAGGCTAAGTCCCTTGGATGTCCTTTCCTCACTTATCTTTTAATTAGTTCAAACTGGAAAAGTATTTAAGTAATGTGCAGGTACTACATTTTGCAAGACTATGGGCTTGACAAAGCAAACTCTTTATCTTGAAAAGACTTAGGGGAAAACAAATAGATGCATCCCTATTTCTCCTACACCATCTGTTTCACATCTCCTTGACTCAAAGGAGAACTGCATTCCACTCTGTACAACTCAAAACAGTGCATCCAAACCAACTCAATGGGAACAATTCGTACTTTGAACTACGGTTCTCTTTCAGCAACAACTGCTTCTTTAGAGGACACAGAGGTACATTTACTGGCTAAAAAAATGTGTTATTAATATTGTTGTTACAACAGCAAAATAAAGAAAGCATAATTTAAGCCCCAACGTTACCATCCTGGGTTCTTTGAAGTTCCATATCCCCCAGTGACTTACCCTACTACTAACACCTACCTACAACTATTACAACTGTATTCTCCTGGTTATACCTTAATATAGTGAGATAATTATACCAATCTTATAATAACTAAATCATACTAAGAAAATTTTACTGAACAGACATGAAAACAGAACATCACATTTGAAACATTAAATGTGTAAGTAACTGAGAAAGGACTTAATGCACATATAGGTGAGTTGTGGTACAGGTTCCTATTGAATTTCACAGGAAACTTTCCAAAAGGTTACAAAATTTTAGCTTATATGGCAGTGCACGTTAACATGCCATGCTTCCACTCAGCTAAGAGCATGTAATTTTTCTGGTGAAAGTGAGAACATACATATTTTAAATGGCAAAAGATTGGCAAGGCTGAGGAAAAGCAATAAGGGCACTGTACAATTATTACTTGGCAAGGCTATTGTGCTTTTCTCTTTAAAGCCCCTATGGGGGGACAAACAGTTATGTAATTGAAGTTAACTTTATATATGAATAAATATTACTGGTTAAGTGGACAGTTATAAATTGCAATGTTATTCACAATTACTTCACCCCAATTTGTTACAGAAAACTGGTGAATAAAACGAGTTTCTGAATTTGAAAGAATATTGCAAGAAACATGTAAAATTAAAGTTATTAAATATTAAAGGAACAACTTAATTCTTTACCCCAAAGTGCAGTAAATAAGGTTGCTAAACATGTAGCTTGAGAACTATGAAACAGGGAAAAAAAACCCCACATATTACAAGGAAGAGCTTGTATGTATAGTTTGTGAATTAACACAAGTGTTAAAACTTATAAGAGACTTCATACTGGAATGAAAAAAACAACTACTAAAGAAACAAACCAAAAAAGAAAGCCAGAGGGGGCTTTTGTGTTTGTTTGAAACATAGCCAATTCAGAAATCTGGCATCAACATATTCAGCTCTACCACCTCAAGATCAGCCTTGGTTATCAACACAGTTGTACTCCTGCTAAGGCTGTTCCACAGCTTCATGCCTCAACGTCAGAAATCTGTTTTCAGCTTAAGCTGACAGACAGCTATCCCATCCCACTCAGCCGCCTTTCTGCTAGTTTAAACAAGCCAAGCTCTTTTAGAGCTCTCTTCTCTTGTAAGACACACTTTCTGTTTCCTGGATGATCCCAGGACTTCCCTGTTCACCTGTCCATATACAAATTCATTTTTCTTGAACATGAGTGATCAGAACTGCACAGAGTAATCCAGATGAAGTTCTACACTGGTGCCTTGTCCAAGAGGATTAGTATTTCCCTATCTCTCCTATTAGACACACCTCACCTAATACATCCTAGGAGCACATTTACGTTTTCCACAGCTGTTTAAGAGTAGTGGCTCGTTGTAATCATATGTTGAACTAATACAGTCAAATCTTTCTTCTGCTTCAAGATGAAAAGCTTCAATCTTACAGATTTGCTTTCCTCAGTTTTCATCCAAGTGATACGTTCACCAAAAAAATGCTCTTTGACACCAAATCAGCAATTTCACAGAACAATTTTGTAGAGTGGAAATCATCCAGTCCTGCACACTACTCAACTCTCTTAAACTGAAAGGACAGTTTGGTACAGAGCTGGGACAATGCAAGCACTGCAGTTATATGCAAGCAGCAGTTTTTAACTCACATAAAAACCCAAAAGTTGCCTGATAAAGTTATTACATAGATAATGCTGAAAAAAATTTTAAAAAATCTTGAAACAAGTATTTACCTATCTTTTTTGCTCTTCCCTTTTTGTTTCCCTGCAAGAATCCGTAGCTCTTCTTCAGTAGGATGCTGATACCATCGTAAACTAAAAAAAAAAAAAAAAGAAAATATCAAGTAAAACAAAACTAGTATTAGCAATTTAGTGTTCTCAGGTTTGGGGTTTTTTTTTATTTTTTTAAATACGTATCAACACAGATCTATAGGCATATAAAAATACTGGTCATTTGCAACACCTAAGCAAAAGAATTGCTCATACTCTTTAAGGGAGGGCCACCCTCCAGAAAGACCTGAACAGGTTGGAAGAGTGGGCTAACAAAAACCTTATGAAGCTCAGGAAAGACAAGTGCAAGGCCTGATGTCCTGATGGACAAGCAGCTCAGTATGAGTGAACAGTGTGCTGCTGCTCCAGCAACGAAAACCAACAGGATGCATGGCTGCATCAACAAGGGTGTCACCAGCAGAGGTAAAGAAGTCATTATCCCACTCTACTCAGTGCTTGTCAGGCCACACTTGGAACGCTGTCTTCAGTTTGGTTCCCTCTAGGCAAAAGAGTTGAGGACAGGTTGGAGAGAGTTAGAGAAGGGCCACGAAAGACTGGGAAAGCCTATCATATGAGGAAAGGCTGAGAGAACTGCATTTGTTCAGCCTTGAGGAGAAAACTGGCATGGGGAGACCTCATCACCACGTTCCAGTATTTCAAGGGTGGCTACAAAGAAGACGGAGACACTCTTTTATTCATAATTCATAATAAGAAAACTTGGACACTTTGTCATTCATGTGAAAACCCTTCACTTCCCGAAACACCAAATTTTCTAGCTATCAAATGCAGCAAACAAAACTGTACTTGTATTGGGAAAAGTTCACTAGAATGATTATACCATTACACTTACCCATCAGAACAATTCTAAAAGATTTTATGAAGCATAATTATGCCTCTCAAACAAAACAGTAATTTTCCACAATATGGAATAAACTATGATCAAATAACCATTTCCAGTCTTTTTTCTTAGGCAGAGCAGATGTAACATCAACATTCTTTTCCTAAACACCTCCTCAGTGATATCTTCAACTCCTACTACAAAAAAGTGCTTTTAAACAAAAAAAAAAAAATCACTAATTTACATGTAGCTGAGCTGCAAGTTTTTCCACTTTGACAAGTCAATGCATCATCCATTGCACATTTTATTAAAGGCATGTAGTGGCAAGGAAACTCTGAAGAGAAATGGTTATCTCTAAGCACATCAAGAACCGTAATAGGTGAAACAAAGGCCTTTTCCACATTCAGCAAAGGAGGGTTGCTGTCCACATGCAGAAGGGATATCACTCTGGTCTCCATTATTAAATGCTGAGGCAAAGTATTAATGGAAACAGACTTGGAAAATTTATCTGTATTTGTATGGAAGTACTTTTCTGGAGTAGGAGGCCACTTATTGGTGATACAGGATAACATAGGGTAACAGAGATGATAATGAAATTCACAACCATCAGTGCTTCTCACCTTAAGAAAACCTCATAAAAACTTTGTAATTCTTCATGAAACATCGTCTCTACAAGAAGTACTGAGAGAGGCCCACTGCTATAAGCCTCGTTCTAAAAGCAGAAACAGTCCTAAATGCAAGCAGCCACAACAAGCACCACTATACATCCTCTACCTTCCTTACGATGGTACAGACACTGTGTGTGCACACTTGTGCTGCAAGAGGCACTGCATAAAGACTACAAGAAAGATTAGGTACAATTGTAATGAAATACATGTCATTGATCATGTGCCTGTCTGACAGATCTTAAACAAGAGACATTGCCTCTCTGTCCTGATACTGTCCTTGACAATACACTAAATTTTGCCGAGGACAGGCAAGTGGGAATGAATTAAAACAGTGCAACAAAAACACAGCACCTGAAAGGAAGAGCTCCCAGTTTCACTGTTTTAATTGCTGGTATAATGAAGCGTTAAACAGGCAGTTGCACAGAGCTCATGGACATAATCCTAAAATAATTTAAAAACTGGCATACAGGATAAGTAAGAGCTCAAGCCAGCAATACTACAAAGAATACAAACTGGTTAACAGGGGGTCCCCATGAGCCTGTGTCAGTAGGCACTCCTGTGCCAAAGAATTGCTGATGCTGAGATTTCTTCAAGAGAAAAGGACTTAAGTACCAACCAACACATCACAGAGATACAAACCATGGCACACCACAAATTTCCCTTGAAGGAATTCACTGGCAGTTCAAAAACTGAAAGTGGCAACTACTACAGACTTTGCACAAACAAGGAGATTTTGGGAGGAAGAAGGGTGGCTGAACTGTGTTTTTGAGGATTTTTGAGGCATCAGTAGAAGTGAAAGGTATTTGATTATTTATTTTTGTCATGTGTGGTCCCAGCTGAAAAATTTGCAGTTTCCAAACTTTGCTGCAAAAGAGATGTTGTTAAGACTGAGAATCACACAAACCAAAACAGCACCTTTTCATCCAAGACAAACTGCACTGGAGATACTAACTAACTTCTTCCTGTCTTTCACATAACCTAGAGGAAGTGGGGGAAAGCAGAGAAAGAGTCTTCTGCTTTGTCATTCACCATCTCCCAGATCTGAACTTGGCATGCTGAGAGTACCACAAGTAGCTCTGTAATGATGAAAATCACCTATGTTGGAAGCTAATTTTTAAGTCTTTCCTGCACAGATAGAGAAATGGTACCCAAGACAGCAGAACAGACAAAATTCTTGTTGTATATTAACACAAATAAAACACAAACTAGAATTTGCTCTTAATAATACTACAGAATTATGCTGCTGTGGAGAAACATCAACAGGCTGCAAGCCAAGGCACCGCAAAAGCTGGGATTCCCATGAGAACATTATTAAGAGAACAAATAGCAGCTGGGATTTATACAAAGGCAAAAAGATTCAACTCTGTTATTATTAAGTATAACGGGACCTTGGGCCAGCCTAAAAGTAAGCGTTC